TTTTCCTGTAATTCTTTCGGGAATAGAATATCGCATTCGTTCAACTAAATCCATCCAACAGAAACCGAGATCAGCGCGAAAAAGTGGGTTTTGTAGGGCGAGAGCATGTAGACTTACAAATGCAGCTTACCAACACTGATCAAACATAATATGGCGGAAATGACCCCTTCTATAACCCCTTCCCCTCCATTCCCTTAACCACCCTCCCTCACTTTATTTCTTCAGATAGTATTATTAAAGAACAATTTCTTTCCCCTCCCTCCTCATCTCATTAAAAAACCTACAGTATAGGGTTGAGTTTATAGATTTTAGGAATTTCGTATACAGCCGCTATCTCGTCTGACTGTGAATATCTCTACATGGTACGATTATTCTGTGCCTCAGCACGAGGTCTCCGACTCAACCTCACCAGAACGAACACCTTTTTGAAAAGCTAGGAAATTACGAAGCCCTCTTTTAACGTGTACAAACGCGTGCAAGAAGGACAAGTACTGCAGTGCTCTTTACTTGGAGCGCATTTTCTTCATCAAGGTTAAACGAACTAGGGCCCTATTAAGGAAGAGAAGAGGTACTTTGATCTGGTTAGTGTGTGTTGGATCGAAGGGTGCAGAAAAAGTGTTTGATATAAGGAAATTATGGGAAACAAAAAAGTCGTTCCTCTTCGCTTTTTTTCACAAGAATGAAACCCAGCTTGCCCTCCGGAGATCTGCCGCCGAGGCCTGTTCTGTCTAGTTAACCTGGTTATTGACTGTCTGATTTCTAGTAACCCTGCAAAAGGCACTGAAAATGCTATTTGCCGTTGTCAATAATCCCGCTCTCCCTCAGAGGAACTGAATTTGCTATCGCTACCTAACGTTGATTTCCGTGATTAACAACAAATAGCTGTCAGACATCTTTACAGAAAATAACGGTCATTTTATTATGTAAATCCTAGAGACAGACTCCGAATGCCTTACGTTTACGATAGATCTACCTATATCTATGAAAAAATGAAAGTAGACAGATAATAAGTTTTTCAATGACTAAGAAATAGCTTTTCTTCTTTGAGAAATTGTTCCACTTTCAAAGGAGCTA